AAAGCCCCAGTGAAATGAGGATGAAGGTTGATGAGAGTTGCAACTCTCGCTCGCGTTTGACCGCAAAATCTCATCCACTCTCGTGCACTCTCACTGAGTTTGAATGGTTCAAATTTTGGCAGACAGTCTCGAAAGTGTGAGTTTAAATCATGTTTGAGCCAAGCAGTGTAAAGCCCCAGTGAAATGAGGATGAAGGTTGATGAGAGTTGCAACTCTCGCTCGCGTTTGACCGCAAAATCTCATCCACTCTCGTGCACTCTCACTGAGTTTGAATGGTTCAAATTTTGGCAGACAGTCTCGAAAGTGTGAGTTTAAATCATGTTTGAGCCAAGCAGTGTAAAGCCCCAGTGAAATGAGGATGAAGGTTGATGAGAGTTGCAACTCTCGCTCGCGTTTGACCGCAAAATCTCATCCACTCTCGTGCACTCTCACTGAGTTTGAATGGTTCAAATTTTGATGAGAGTTGATTAGAGTTTTGGCTATGCGCGCGGTAATATCCAGTCAACTCTCATGCAAACTTTCTCTTCATGTTTGAAACCTTCTCTTCATGTTTCTCCGAGGATGTAACAAAAAAATATTGACGATGACGTACAACGTTTTAAGTGTGTAAGATATCAGTTTAACTGCATTTAAAAAGTCAAAGTTTACATACCACTTTGATTACTTGACAGTTTCTTTCCTTTGGGGATTTTTTGTTGTGTTTGTTGATTTATAGTGGTACAATAATCGTAGACATGTCTTTCAAATGTTAAAGGAAACATTCAAGCCTTTAACTGTTAAATAAAGGCTATAGGGACTATATATGAGATCATAAAATGAGGTATCGTAATTATATGTTATTATTGAATGCATTGTAACAAGTGTTGTATCTAAACCACTCTCAGCTATTGAGTTTCAGAGTTTGCCAGATTCTATAGCAGATTCACCATTTCTCCACCGTATTTCACTGCAAATCTCAATAAACAAATAGCCCATGGATGACTTTCAATTTCCCAAACATGTGTTCTGATGCCCAATTTGCGTGCAAAATGTTGGAAGTAAAGTTTCTCTTCGTCGCTAGCAAGAGTTCACCGTAATGAAATTGTAATTAATGAATTGTAATCCAATTAAATATGAGAAAACATAACGGAGAGTCAATGAGGATAGTTTGATCTGTTAAGTACATTTATGTTAGCTAGGTTCAATATTTATGAGCAGTTTGTTTTGTAAGTATGCATGCCATTAATTAAACTTCTTGCACATTTTGCACTCTTTATAAATATTAAGAAACACGTTTGTTGGTCAGACAAATCTTTAGAATGGCTGGAAATGGCAATTCTGAGCTTTAAAAACCAAAACAATTACAGACCTCCTCCCCCTAAAATGCCCTCACCCCTAAAACACTGATTCTCCAGACCATGCCATCAATTTCATTCTCCAGACCCTTTCACCTGTTAAATATTTACCACTACGTGGCAATTTTTGTTGTGCTTTATCTTGATGTCAGTTGACTGCATGGTCAGAAGTATGTTCGAAAAGTCACAAATGGAACTGACAGGTCAACATGACCAGCGTATATCATAAAACTTTATTTTGAGCCGATTTATGTTAGTGATATTTATGCAGCCAGGCTGTTATTTCTCATTCATGATTGTGGATTATTTCTTTTACTAACAGTTTCTGATCATAGCCATGAATTATAAAAAACACTGCCAAAACTATCCATGTCATAATACGTCAATTGCTTTTCTTGCATGTTTTGTCCATATCTTGTTCAAAATCACATGGTTTTAGAACCGTGAGTGATGATGGCATAACATTTGCTAATTTTCATTCAAACATTTTGGTAAATATAGTAGACAGTATTCTACTGAGCTCTAACAACAAACGGTCTGTGGTGCCAGTTTCCTGACCAACCTTCTTCTTTCTGCTGATTCTCTAACGTTTTTTCAATGTCTGCTTGCCTGCCAAGTTGCCAAACCCTATTTTTTTGGGTTCTGTGGGTTGCTCGCTTTATAATACAACATGATGCCCAAAAAAAACATCATTGTTACGGACTTACAGATGCTCATTGTCACAAACCTTGTTTATCTGAGTTTTTTAATGTGTAAGTGGTAATGTCTGCTAATCACACTCTTGATCCTTATGCTACCCCATTTCAAGCAAAAAAGCTGTATTACAAAATTTTCAAAATACTGGCATTTCGCATGTTGTTTTACATTTTGGTAAATAATTTCCACGTTTGAGTAAACTATTCCCACATTTTGACCAATGAAATGCATCAATTGGATGCATCTAAAACCAACATTCTTTAAAGATGTGGTACAGTCCGTATGTAAACAAAGGTTTTGTTTACATTTTTGTATCCAAAATATTGAACTTTATTTCACAACTATTTATATATAATTTTTCATGCTTCTAGAGTATAATAAATGATCAAGACACAACAATCAGACATTGCAAGAACATAATTAAAACATAATTAAGTATTTTGGGTAACCTTCGCTTTCAACCAAATTTATATTGAATACACTTAAGACAGGGCAATATGATCATTTCCAAAAACATTGTTAGTGTTGCCATGCAACCATGTCATTTTATCTTCTGCATTTTTATTGTCTAATTTCAGAATGAATGGACACTATTTTTTTCCTTCAATCAATTTTTCTGATTTTTTTAAAGATTTATGGTAGATATTCATGAATGACAATTACAGAAAAATCTATCTGTAAAATTTGTTGAAATTTCTATATGCCACTACTTGTCATATGGTTAGCAAATGTGGAAAGTTTAAAAAAATTTCACCAAAGAAAAATGGAGAAAAACCATCACTAAATTCGAGTTAATGTTGCTAGTGTGATAAAAATCTCGATTCAACATGATTACTATCTGCACATGTGTTTAAATTATACTATGTGAACAATACAAAACATGTGTGATTTAGAGTTGTTGTTTTTAGTAATTACTGAACGTAAATACGTAAAAACACACGAAAAGATATGTTAAAACTGGTTAATAACCTGTGTACTGTTTGAATTCTGAAAAATATATGATTTACAATGAAAAACTGGCATTTTCTTTGTAGAAAAATTTTACCAAGCTACGAAGATTGAACATCGATATAAATTGTGTTTCTTAAAACTGTACAGACCCACCTTAAGTTGCACTGCATGCAATGCACCCGCCCTATTTTATTATTTTACTCTGTCTAACACCAGATGATTTTAGTTTTCAAGGGGAGAGTGCTGCCACTCAATGGGTTAATCCATAGTTATTAATAGAAGAGATGGTTTGAAAACTCAACATAATTACAAAATTTTATATTAGACCCTCGGGAGAAAGGAGGGACTGCCGACAACACATCAAAAAACGATATATGCCCACTTTTCACTCCTGTCAAGTTGGCTCCGCCTTTGCATAAACATTACTTACATCCAATTAAATCTATCCAATAGCAACCGTTAATGTCATGTTTACTTATAAAATCAACATTTAGTCTGGAAATTATTTATAGCATAATTACTACGTATCAGATTTGATTGACAGGCGTATTGATTTCGACCAATGGGAATTTTGCGTTGTGTGGGCAACACATATTTCGTTTCTTGGTGTGTTGTCAGCAGTCCCTCCTTTCCGTTTGCATGCCTGGAAATCTAAACCCGCGGAAAGGAGGGACCGCTCGCAGTCTATTACAATATAAGTTATATAACTCATTACCTCCGCCAGGAGTCAATAATTTCATTTGCATTTGTATTTGCGTCTCTGTCTCTGTCAGCACGATAACCAGGGTCTTAGCTAGAGGGCCGTGTTGGCCGTGTTATCGTGGCCAAAAGCGGAAAAACACGGCTAGATAAAATTAACACGGCTTTACTATTTTTATATAAGGCCGTGTAGGTTCATAAAATAAGGTGGTGCTACTTACAAACATGATCCGTGATGTTTTACTATTTTGATGGATAATGGGAACTGTATGGTGTTAAATGGTTTTAAATACCCCCAAGAGTTGCTGAAATAACTTAATATTTTAATGTCAGTGCACAATATGAGCGTATGCTCGCCTTGTATTTGGTTGCAAATCATAGAACAACCACAAGCATAGTTGTTGTTGGCGAGCATATAAACTAGAACCGTGATTTTGCTATTCAAAGTAATTGACATGTGCACGTCCTGGTCATTAGAAACACGCCCAAGATCTAAAATCCTAGCTAAGAACTATCAAACGTATTAATACAAAAATTTCTGTGACTAATGGACATTGCCCAAGGAGAAATTGATTAAATTTTGATGAAAATTGGATGTGAAATTAGCAAAGGTTTGTCTTGCTTTGCCAGACAGAGTAAACAGTCCATTGTATAATAATTGTGTAATTAGCCCATTGTATAATTTATGCATGATACATAACTTAATTCACTGGCGGAGATATGCAGTCTCTGAGTGCCCTCTAGTTGTTATCTATGTTTTTGTTTAGGTTTATTCAGAAAAACGGTACCTCATCGTCATGTGCGTATTGTATTTTAGCCCAACTAACCAATATTGGTGGATTTGGCAAAAATACAATACGCATGTGACAATGAAGGAATAAACGTTAACTAACATAGATGATGAGTTATATTGTTATTCCAATGTGGTTCTGCCCATGTGTGTATAGTTAACCCATTAAGTTGCATTGCGCCCTAATACACCCTACTTTATTATTTTACTCTGTCCAATGCTAGACAATATTGCTCCTGAAGGGGAGAGTCAATAATTTCCATCTACAATACCCTTCAACTAATATTGTGCAGGCCTGGCAGGTTCAAAATTTAGTGCAAGTGGTCAATCACACATATCATTAGCTTTGCACAAGGCTGTTCAGCTTATGAAATTTCAAAGTGTGATTACCATGTTACTTCTGAAGGCATGTCTTAAACATTCGATGCAAAGTTCGCAGGTTTTACTTTTAACCTAATTTTGAAAGATGGAGTCAAACAAAAGTTTGCACAGATTTTAAAGCTGGAAATTTTTTCTCCCAAAACAGACATTTTTTGTTCAAATTTACCTGGTCAAAATGTCATTCAGAATTATGTACGTCAATGTCATATTGACCAAAATATTATGCGTGAAATCAATTTTGAGCCTTATTTCCACCAACACACAAAATCTCGGACAGTATATTGTTAGTATACTTGCCAAACAAAATTCATCCATCAAGCACTATTTAAAAGGAAGATATGCTTGACATGTGGATCAATAATGTTTATGTATTCTTGATATATATAAACAAAAGATACGTATAAAGTTCCATATAACGTCCCTTAGCCATACTTTGTCTTCTGTATACATGATCCATACCACCTTCTAAGTCATCCCAAATTTCATCCAGTTTTATTTGTCGAAGTCCATGTGGAGTTTGAGGCCTGTTTGGTAGTGAAGACATCATCAACTAAATTCGTTTGTTTCTTTTTATACAGTCGGTTATAACTCCACAACGAACTTAAAATGATCTTCCTGTTATCCAGCAGATATATGTGATAATAATGTACTTAAGCTCTTCTTTCGTGGATTTAGACATTCATTTAGGAAAAATTCTTTTCCTGTCAGATTTCCTCTCAAAGTACTAGCCTTGCAACGGCCCCAGTCTGCCACTCCTGACTTTAGTTTAGCACGTACATCGACGCTTTATTTCTCATGGTAGAAAGCGGCTTTTATAAAGCCAGTTGTGGAAGCAATTCCTAAGCTAACAAAACAATCAGATAGACAAAAAGAAGAGAAAACTTGACTGAATTTGTGCTTCAAACAACTTGAACTTGCCCGCAACACAACACAGAAAAGCGTGGTTGCCCGGCCTGATGACGTCATATTCCTCAGGCAACAAACATGGCTGAATAAGTTGCTAGAATAGACTGGAATAGGCCTCTGGGAATAGATGATATATTTCCAACATATATTGACAAAAGAAACCTATATAATCGCCTTTTATTCAGCAAGGTATTAATTTACAGTTAACGTTGTTTACTATTTACCTATAAGTGCAATGTTTATACTATAATCATTGTCACTGCAATTTATTTGCTGTTTATTATAAATTGTATCAACCTATAAAAAACATCTTGTTAATATTGATTTTAATATATGTATTGTACAGGGCGCCAGTGAAGTCTATAGGTACTGAAAATGCTTATATTGTAAATTTTCCGATCTGTAGCATGAAAATGGGCGTGGTTGATCCATCATGTGATTCATGTCAATGAATGGGCTATTACATTAAAAAACCAACCCCCCCCTGTCGAGGACCTCTGCTTTTGGGGATTTTTACCCCTCTGGAATGCAAAAAAATCTGTGTAATTGACCCCTCTGGAAGAGACTTGAACCCCCTCTGGAAGTGCTTTTTTGCTTTTTAACCCCTCTGGAAAGAGCATTTTTCTTCCATTTTTCCCAATTACCCCTCTGGAAAAAATGACTAATTTCCCCCTGGGAAAATGAGGTCCTCGACAGGGGGGTACGGATATTAAATGTAATAGCCCAATGGGGTTGGGCACCTCTGCCACTTCGGGGCTTTTTTCCACTCATCACAAAAACCAACCAGGAGATTGCTGCTAGTGTTTGCATGTATAAACTAAAATAGAATGTTGAGCATTGTGATTGGTTGAAAGAACCCTCTTGCGATATATATATATATATATAACTACAGACGGTACCGTTTCGGCCTTATGGGCCTCATCAGTGTAGTGCTGATGAGCAGGATGAAAGTAACTGCTATTTACAGTTACCTTTGAT